ATATATTGTTTGTTTAGTGTGCAGTCATTGATTATACTCTTCGATTGTATCTTTGGGGACTTCTTTAAAGATGTCATGGGCGTTCTTCAACCTTCTATATATGGATTCTAATCGTAGTAATAAATTGTTGACCTTGCTACACAACTCTCTGGGTCTGTTCATGTGGAGCAAGTTTTCCATTATTATAGGTAATTTATAGAGATTCGCGTAGCCAGTTAATGGTTTCTTTTGGTTTTAATATTTCCTACACTCCAGCAACTAGTGCTCTAACGGATTGTATTTCTGGCTTACATTACAGGTCTCTTCTTGAATAGTTAAGAAGTATCGTCCAAGTTGTAGTCGAAGCAATTTACAGTTGCATGGTATTTTAAGTTCATCTGTTATCTGACTTTGTCTTTTGGGAGCATTAAACATCTTTTATAAATGTCTACCCTTTTTCAAGGGCCATTCCTCTAATATACAATTTCGAATCATTGACTTGATGTTTTCTGTGCTCATACTTATATTAACAGTGTTGTGATTGGATCTACCTCTCTTTTTTGCCTCCCTATCTGCAATTTCATTATCATGTATTCTCACAGAAGCAGGTATCCATACAACCAGCACTGAACATCCTCTAGTGTTTAGATATGTGGTAGCTAGAGAAATCTCTTCTATTAAGTCTGGTCTGCTATTTTGAATGTTAAAAGTCAGTTAAAATAAGAATATATAAAAGGACCTCTCTCTAGCCAAGTGTGCATCAGACACACAGTGATATACCTGACAAATGAAGTTGTGAAATCGTTGAAAAAATAATTAAATGTTTGCTGCATTCGCGTCTAAGTATACACACCAAACTATTTTTGTCGACACTATGTCCTTTTACGCATACGTTCTGTGGATATGCTCTAATTAACTGCTGTTTTTATTTTAAAAGGTTGACGTCAAAGAATGAACCAAGAAGAAACGGAAATGGAGGGGGTGTGGAAGGTGGGCTGAGGTGAAGGAGCATGGGAATAAAATAAAACGTAAATGGCACTTGATCACATCAATTAATCAAGTATCGTCTCCCCAATTACAGCTGGCTGCAAGAATCTCCAACTGTAGCGGTAGTAGTCATTTTCACAGAGCTATCCTTTTCACTTCACATGGTTTAAATATGGATATACAGTGTTCATTGAGTTCTCATAGGATAAATTTTATTTTATATATCATTTAATCACTTATTGTCCAAAACTCTTACTTTGGCCAGGACAGAACACTGTCACTACTAGTATTAACCCAAATCTTGGTGTCACCCCCCTATTTGTTTTCTTCTTCTTCTTTTTTCTTCTTTGCGTTCGGGTTCGTATGCTCAGATCAGACCATCAGGTGGGTTGCCTCTATGAACTCGCATGTCAGCTGCAGGTTCTGCATGGTTCCTCATAGCTTGCTCTGCACACTTTGCTCTTGAGGCCAGGTGTTTTTTCGAAGTTGCAGGTAGAGTGGGCAGGTCTGCAGAACGTGCCGAGGTGTTTGGGGTCCGGTTTGACAGGCACACTGGGGGGACTGTACAATCTTTATTTTATGCATGTGGTAGTTAAGCCTGCAGTGTCCTGTTCGTAGACGGAAAATTGTTGTATGTTGCTTTCTGTTGAGTCTGCTGATGGGGTCTTGTGGATGTTTACTGTTAGTTTGTTCTCTCCACAATTCCTTTTATTTTCCTTTGATAAGCGTTCTGATTTATGGTAATGACAATGAATGGGCGTGTTGTTTCTCCTTTGTTCCATTTTTGCAAGTCTGTCTGCTAACTCATTTCCTGGTATGACGCAGTGAGCCGGGATCCACTGGAGAACGCTTTGATTGTTTTCTTTAAGTCTGTTTAGCTGACAGGTCAGTTCTCTTTCCATGTTGTCTCGTGGGTCCCTATGAATCTCCTGGAGGACTGACATGCAGTCACAAAGGAAAACAATTTTGCTGTTTTTAATTTGTCTTTTCTCGAGCACTTTGGCTGAATCAATAATTGCTTGCTGCTCTGAAGTTTGTTGATAGTCTTCCGGAGGCACATGACGTTTCTACTGTGGTCCCATCTTGCAGCATGATGACCAGATTAGCCTTTTGTCAAATTTTACTCCCAAATATGTGGGGTTATCCTCTTTTGGAAGGATGTTGCCTTATAGGTACAGATCAACTTGTTCTGGCTTTGTGGAAAGAGAGAATACAGTTGAGACGGTTTTGGTCTGGTTTATTGCGACTCCCCAAGAGTCTCTCAATTTCTTGACTGTATTTATAGCTTTATGCATTCTTGTTTTAGTTGTTCCTATATGTTCAGCTTGAGTCCATATGGTCAGGTCATCTGTATGTAGCGCCTTGGGAATGTGAGCCGTGAACTGTTTTGGGAGGTCAATGATGAAAAGGATAAACAGTGTAGGAAATATAACACCTCCCTGGGGGATGCCTTCTTGTAACCTGACCAGCTTGCTCTTGTGATCTTCCAGTCTGACTCTCGCACAGCGTCTGTAAAGGAAGTCTCTAATCCAATAACGTGTCCCCCCAGTATGGTAACATCAAACTAAATACTAATTAAAAGAAAACCATAATCGACGGACACGGTGACCAAGGAATTTAAATTTCAAGAGGCAGATATCAACATTTCTATATAAGAACAGAGAACATAAAAATGTACAAGGAAGGTTAGGATATAAATTCTGCATAGACGTTGCCACTAATCCGTTAAGCAGGATAGTATTTATAAAAACTACTACTGCAGCTACTGATACTACTGCTACTACTAACACTATTATTGGTGCTCTTACTAATGCGACAGTGGCGCTTACCGCTGTTGTTGCTGTGGCTGGTGCTGCTACCACCACCAATACTACTGCTGCTGGTACCACAACCACCACCACCAACACCACCACTAATACATACTACTACAGCGAGAGCAATACTTCATTGGATGCTAATAATGAATGTTACGAATAATACGAATGCGTGTGATTACGCAAGAAACCTAAACTGCTAGCGTGTACATTACACGCAAACTAAGGATGCCTGTTGTTGTAGGCATGCTAATTTAAAATAGATTCTGATTCTCATTTTTACAATATTATATTGTTTATTTTAGAACTCTACACAAAATTAAATGTGAGTTGTAATGTAGTTAAGGGTTTTATTTTAAAAATATGTATTATGCATGATGTTATTCAGTATCGTATCATTTTGATTTTGTCACTGACTACTCGACGACAACAAACAGTAACTTGAGTAACAACACTAAACACTACTAACACTGTCTACTGTACGGACGTCTGGTTTGACTAATAGTTAAAAGATATATATGTATACTCAGCGCAGCTGTATGGTGCAGAGACATGAACAGCGAACACGTAATTAGACAATTTGGATTCAGTATGAGTATGTTGTATCTTAATCTAGAGATGTGGATATACAAAATGGGTCGTATTTCAAAAGAATAGAAAAAAAAAATCAGATACTCTGGGGTTCTCTTTTGTCCAGATGAAAAGAGAGTTGCTGAAAGAAATAAAAAAATGATGAGTGAAATAATTGACCATATTATTGGACATAGTGGTGTCTTCTTTCGAGAACATTACAGAACACACACCTGCATTTTGTGGCTGTTTGTTATTTTACTTGGCATTCAGTAGTTTGCCATTGCCCTGTAAACAGTCTGTGCTCTGGTGTCAAAATCAACACAGAGTTTACAGACTGTAGCCAAATGCTTGCTTGGCCTGCAGTTGGAATCAAAGCGGGTATGTCAGAATGATGAAGCATGCTGACAACACCTAAAGATGCGGACTGTAGGATGTAACACTCTTACTTATTAACATCATGCTGGCGGAAAGGTTAAAGGCAAGTACACAAGAGGCAGACAGTGATACATTGGAAGGATAAGTAAAGAGATGGAAGAATAGCAGTCTGTGAGTATACCTCTAGGATGTAAGAAAAAAATCATCCTGGAGATCCATTACAGTTTTACAGCCACTGTGGATACAGGACCTGATTATTAGTATATTATTTTTCTTATATATACATGTATAAAGTTAGTTGCGTAGTCCTTATAGGACGTTGCAGAACCAATTCCAGCATTTTGTGGCTTTTTTTTGTTTTCTAGGCAAAATTTACATTCAGTGGTGTGCCACTGCTTCTGAATGGTTGGCTATTGACACCATTGTCGAAACCAACACAAGACTTCAAATTGCCTGAAGCTGGGATTGAATCCAGCACCTTGTCTTTCCGAAGTGTGTTCACAGCGCCAAAACCACAGATGCCAACATATACCTGTTTACATATTCTTTAAATCACCTTAACAGAGTGAAACACCCTTTTAAAAATGTCAATCTCGGGGCCGCGCTAGCACAGTCAATAGGAGACTCACTTTCAAATCCAGCTGCAACTTGCTGCAGCCCACGGCCAGTGTTCGAAACTGGGTGGTTCCCAGGGTTCACCCAACCTCTAGGTAATGGGTACCAGAGTTAACACTCTGGGGTAAATGGAGGAACGTCGCTGTAGTTACAGAGTTGTGTGCGGACAGCGACACAGGCGGACAGTTTCTTATCAGCTGTGTGTACTGGTCGCAGAGCACTTATGGTTTATAACCGTCTGCAATGACGCTGGCTCACATCTCCCGACTTTAGATGAAAGCAGTCAGCCGTTCAGATAAATTAATTAGACATAGAGAGCAGCATTTTGTAGACATGTTATGGGGAGTAAAATTGAAAACTTGGTGACAGCTCTCAAATTTGATGGAAAATTAGTAAGGAAAAGGCAAAGAGATACCTGGATGTCTTGACCATATGGATGAACACGAGTATTAATTTGATCCTTGTATCTGATTATTGTGCGAGATGACAAAACATGACTGCCTATGTTTATCGTCATGGCTGTGGTGATAATAACAGAATGATGTATCTTTTGTCTCGTTAAAATAGTTGATGGGTGAAAATAGTTTGAGATACCATGTTATTTTGCTTTGTGACAGATAGTTTAGTTATAATTGCTTAGTTGTTGCCATTTTCAGAATGAGGGAAACTCCACTGTCAAACTGTGAAAAGGACTTTATACTGAAAAATATTGCAGAAAAAAAGGTGAGTTTTCCTTCTAATCTTGAATTATTTATGAATGTCAATGACATTGTAAGTAAAGTAAAGGACCCTTTTCCATGTCTTTAGGCATATAGGGCTAGACCTATATTTTTTATAGACCAATCGGCACAAGATGGATGATGTGGTCAGCATCACACCAGGCCACCTGTACTTCCCAGGACTGCACCCGGTACCCACTCAAGGCTGGGAGCCAAGGTCATTTTTGAAGAAAGTCCGGCTCTGCCAGAAGGGTTGTTATGAAAGACTGATTCTCATCCTATTAACACTGTCACCCTGTAAAAATATTAAAACATGACATTTTTCAAAATTTTGTTTAAATGCGCATCTTTTAATTCTCTGAAACTGTACCTTAAAAAACTGTTAATTTCTTCATTTGTGGATCTCAGTAGCACATAGACAAAACACATGTCACATAAAGTAATTCTCTGCAATGCTTGATCATGTTAACATAGGAAAACTCTAGCCTTTTATATTTTGTCTGCAGCGGCTTGATGGAAGACAAGCTTATGACTACCGTGATGTCCGGATTGCATTTGGTGTCAGCCTGGGATGCTGTCATGTTGAGATAGGCACAACAAGGTGTGACTGTTGTTGGTTTATAAGCAGTGTATTGTCTTGTATGAGTGAAATTCCTGATAATGTAAAAAAAAAAAAAAAAAAAAAACTAGAATGTTCTGGAGTGGAACCCACGATTGCGAAAAGGGGGTAGAAATAATTGGAGGCCCAAACATATCACAAAGAAGGGAATTATAGAATGATTTGAAGAAGATGGAAATAATATGGGGTGAGCAGCGAGCGATGACTAAATGTAAATTATGTGATGGCATGTGTCCCATTAAGGTATGAATTGTCCAGTTTTATAGCTGTTTCTGCAGTGTGTCAAAAATGTATGGTGCTAAGGCCTAAAATTTGTTCACTGGCATATACTGGTATATCTTAAAAGAAGCATGGGCCTCCTGATGATATGTGAAATTGCCGTATTGTTCCATGTAGAAGATACCCATAATTTTTTGCCACAATTAAGAAATAACTATTTTAAACTCATTCTATGTATAAGGTGACCCCCAATTTTAAACTGAAATAGAATAACATACACTGAACAAAATGGTATTTTCTATGGCATAATCATGTTATATTAAGGATATCTTCAGACTTAAAGATTGACTACACAGGTTGGGAAATTAAACACTCTAACCTGAACAGTCCGTGGTGACAGCACCAGCCATGCAGTCCTCAGTCTCACGACCACATGTCTACACTGCCATAAAAAGTGGTACCTAGACAGCAGTGACAGATTTTAAAAAATATTTGTTTTAGGCTTTCTTTGATTCTCTCCCTCTGTATGTTTGCCTCTCTATACTGTCTCTCTCTCCTTTCTGTCTGCATCTCTCTCTGCTTGCATCCCCCTGTCTCCCTTCCTCCAACTCTCTTTGTCATATTTTTTGTTTCTTCCATATCTCAGTTTCTTTCACTTCTTCCTTCTCTCTTCATCTGCCCATCTCTCTATCTGCATTCTCTCTTTCTATATTTGTCTCCCTCTCTGTCTCAGGCTCTCCCTCATCATGTCACCATCCCTCCCTCAGTTTGTCATCTTTTTTCCATCTTCCCCCCGTCTTGATTGACACTAAAATGGGTTTATAAAATGTTCTGGAAGGTAAAGATGGCTAGCATGATGTTGACTTCACTTATTGAGTGCCCGTATGCCTTTAAAACGTGAAGATAGGGCATCATATACTAAAGAGCTTGATGGTGTGGAGAAGGGTTGTTTACTTTGACTTTACTTACATCCTGAGTGCCCAAGTTGCAAATTGGCAAGTTGGTATGGAAATTTATATTTAAAAAAAAAAAGCACCGATATCTTACATGATCTAGGCATCGAGGAGACTTTGCATCCTTTCCCAAAAGCTGGAGTATTTTGGCCTGTGTTAAACTTCATGCTAGCCTGGAGAGAATGGTGATGAAGAGTACAGTTTCAGGAAACCAAGGCAGAGGCAGACATCGACGAACGTGGACACAAGACATTGAAGATGCATTGGTATAAAAGCATATAATTGCTGGAGAATTGGCTAGGTAAAGAAATACTTTAACTCCTACATTGACGAGAGCGACGTTCTGTAGAGGACCTGCTGAGCGATGATGAAGATCAGATTCACTCTTCTTAATGATTGAATGTTGTGTCTTTCTATCTGCTAGAGTGTTAGCTCAAGTATCGTGTGAAGTTGGACAGCCTAAACAGACCCGGCCTCATGATGGAGTCTTGTTTGTTAATGTGGAATTATCTCCAATGGCATGTCCATCGTTTGAAGTGGGAAGGTTGGTTTTATTTTTGTCATTTTCTTAATTTATATTATAATTGAAATTGTGTGTGTGGGGTATTTAAACATAATGAGGTAAATATTTGCAGCAAACTAACTTTTATATAAAAATTGTCTTTTAGAAATACCACTTACAGTCCTTAGGACAGTGTGTTACACCTGGTTGGTGTAGCTGTTATATGGATGTGTAAAAGGTAATGAGGGAGTAGACTAACTGGCAAGCAGTACACCAATACCTGTGGGAAGAAGCATGGACAGAGCAGATATTATCAGTGCTTTACCGACTGGGCTAATGGATAATGACGAATCTCTGACACTAACACGATTGCTTGTCATGGGAGTGAAGCATGCCTATCCTGCCTTCGAGGCCGGCATAGGAGACTTAATCTACCTTCATGAAAACAGTTAGTAGAAGAACCTTTGAGTGGTTGCTGCATCGAAGGACTGGGCACGCATGGTAATGCCCAGCGTGCAGTGACGTCGATTATGATTCCATAACATAAGCAGTTAGGGATGCCCTAATTACAACTTTTGAGATTAAATGGGATACCTGGGGTTTGGCATCCAGATGAAGATTTTCAAATCTCAGGATAGTATGGGAAACCCAGAAGAAACAGACTGGTCAGTTGATTATCGAATACTACTTTCGCGTTTTTTGTTTTGTTTTGGCATCACTATAATCCACCTTTATCACAGTTACGAGTTTTCTAGTTTATGTTTTTTGTTTTGTAGTCACCCTTAAAAGGATGGTTGGCGCGCAGCTAGGCTGCGATATCTGCTACTTTTGGTCAACACATCTGATTGCAACATGTCAATAATCAATTGCAGTAGTCTGCCCCCCCCCCCCCCCCCCCCCCCCCCCCCCCCCCCCCCCCAGCTACACAGGGGACATGCAACAGAAAGAATTACAAATATTATCTGTGTCAAGGGTCGACAGCTTTTTTGTGTGGGAAAGTTTTTTATTTTTAATTCACTGAATGTTGTACCTAAATCTGCCATATTAAAAAAAAAATTGAAACCGAAAATTAAAACAATAATTTAGTCTGAACAAGAATTACTATTTTTTTTTTCCACATACATAAGATGATCTATATTTTTTGTTTTAGCACAACATTAAAACACATTTCTTATATAAGACGACCCACAATTTTAAACTTTAAAAATTTGGGGAAACATATCATCCTATACACGGAGAATCATGGTAAGTGATTCTGCTGTGGTGAAAAAAAAACAAATTGTATGAACAGAGAGGATTATTCTAAGAAATTCCATTATAAAAAAACTTGAATGCTTTGATAACTCCAACTTCTCTCTATAAAGTCAGTTGTGTGATTTAACTCAGGTCTGTAGAACATGTTAAACAGGAACTCAATTGCTTTTATTTTTTGGTGTCAGATCATAATTGTTGTAGCTATATGCTAGTTTATTTTTATTGTCTCTCTTTTTAAAAAAATTAAGACAAACACAAGAAGGAGTTGAACTGTCAAGGCTGATGGAGAGATGCTTAAAGGAGTCCAGGTGCATGGATTTGGAGTCTCTGTGCATTGTTGCTGGCGAGAAGGTTAGCTGTTTGTTTCCTATATCACTTTTTATGACTTATAAAGGGAAGTTAGTCCCATAGTAGATCCTCCCTTTGGGCTGTAGCCTGTGAGATTCTCTCATATTTTAAGAGGTGACATATCAGGATGGGTGACCAGTTTGCTTACACACATTATAAGACAAAGTGATTAAGCCGTTTGCCTCACATCTAGAAGGTCATGAGTTCGTTTCATGGTTGCATTGGTTAGTTCACAGGTGCAATTTTTACGGAGACTCATGGGAATTGTCCCTGGAGCTACGGTGTTTGTGTTTTGTGTGATACTCTCATCAGACGGCTAGCCATTCTGTGGAGATAGACCAAGCCATTTGGGATAAAACATGGCGCAATTACGTTGATCCTCTCAACATTAACTGTTAGCTCCTAGTTCGATGTGGCCTAAAATAGGTACCGGGAATGGTTCAGAGATGCACAGGTGTGATATTGTTGATACCAGCCATTTTAATATGGGACCAGCACTGTATGCTTCCAAATGTGGAAATGGTTCAGATAGAAATTGGTTCCACTACCCAGTCATTTCTTTATATTGGTGTTAAAATGTTACCTAATACCACTATTATTCATGACATGTGTGAAAGTCCTTAGCCAAATTATTTCCCATATTTGTATAAAAAATAGGATTTATGACATTTATAGAAAAGTCATCCAAAATTAGTACCATATTTACATAGAGATCAAATCTAACCTATAAATATATATTAAAAAGTATGTCAAAATCACTGTCCGATCTTTTACATAAGATGAGGAAATAACAGTCAGATTTTAATCAATTGGAAAAAAATTCCATGCTCTTAGCTCAGAGTGCCATCATTTACTTTGTTTGCGTGGGTGTGTGTGTGTGTATATATATATATATATATATATATATATATATATATATATATATATATATATATATACACACACACACACACACATGGGAGTCGCCCTGACAATGGTGTCTAGATGCTTGACTGCAAATCGGAAAGTCATGGGTTCACATCCTGACAGAGCCGTACGTTTTCAGAAATGACATTGACTCCCAGGTCGACCCAGCCTTGAGTGGATACCTGTTGCAGTCCTCGGAAGTAAAGGCGGGCGACGTGATGCTGACCACATCACCCACCTAGTGCTTATTGGTCTATAAAAATATAGGTGTAGCCCTTTTTTTCCCAGTACACCCGAAGGCCTAGTGGACCAAAAGGTGAGGAGAAGACGCTGGCGTTGGATAGGACACACACTGAGAAAACAGGAGAACAGCATAACTAGAATGTCTTTACATTGGAACCCACAGGGGCATAGGAAAAGAGAAAGGCAAAAAAAAAACACACATGGAGAAGAGAGCTGGAGAATGAAGTTAGAAAGATGTGGAGGATATGGGGAGAGCTCCATGAAATGGCGAAGGTTAGAACGACTTGGCGTGAGTTGGTTGAGGGCCTATGCTCCATTGGGGGATAGAAAGGCAGAAGAGACACCCAAAGGCGTGAAAAAGAGACCTTGACTTTACTTGTGTGTGTGTGTGTGTATATATGTATGTGTATATATATATATATATATATATATATATATATATATATATACACATATATTTATATACACATATATATATATAAATCAATCAGGTGCCGTGTCCACAATGAAGGTTGGTTGCAATGGATCTCCAACAAGCCCTGGCTCTTACCCTTGATGTACACTCACTCACACTGCTGTTCGTCCATCTCTTGATGTTATCCTCCCACTTGTAACGCTGTCTGCCTCTTGCTCGCCTACCTTGAACCTTTCCCTCTAGGATGATCTTTACAATACTGTTATGCATATATATATATATATATAAAAAACGCAAAGATCTTTTCCATGCCAGTAGCACATCAGGCAAAGAAGGCTAGAATTTTGTTTTGGCATTATGACTGTATGTTTGTATATATATATATATATATATATATATATATATATATATATATATATATATATATATATATATATATATATATAGATATATATATATATATATATATATATATATATATATATATTAACAGCTATCTTCTTTTGTGGTGTCCACAGGCGTGGCATGTTCGAGTGGACATTCATGTGCTGAACAATGAAGGCAACATATTGGACTGTTCAAGTATTGCAGCTATTGCAGCACTAGCCCATTTTAGGTAAAATGGTAGTTCTTTCTTCTTCTTCTTCACGTTCACCAGCTGTAAACTCTGGAGGAAAGTTCTGGTTGTTCATCCATTTCTGGACTGCAGTCCTGATCCAGAACATGAGTGTTGCATGTGCATCCGTTTTACAGATCTGACTCATCTGTGTGCAGACTGCTGGTTCCTTGCTTCTCAGGCAGATGCACTTTAACTTCGAAAGAAGCTCCCAGTTAGTCGACTCTTACGACATGCTTTTGGTTAGGCAGTGGGTCTATTCTTGTTTTCCTTATAATAGGGCAGCGGAACTCACATGGGGATTCTTTCTTCTTATCTGAACTTATCTTATCTTGGGGGTGGGGGGGGGGGGAATTCGACCACATTCCATCTGCTGCATGCATGCAGTTTTGCGCTGAACTGTTGTCTTTGGTTTGTTTGCTGCAAGTTTAATGGCTTAGTTTTTCCAACTGCTTCCTCTTGTCTATTTCTGGTTGCGTCATTTCTGATTGTTGTTTTGTTTTTGTTGTTCCACAAATATTTTCTTCCTCCGCGATCACCCTTAAAAAAATGGATGATCAAATTGCATTGTGGTTTACAGCTAGGCTACATTATCTGTGCCTTTCAGCCCAGCATATCTGATTTCAACAAACAGTATTTTCAACAAGGTTGTTGGGAGGCAGTGGGGCTATTTAAAAAAAAAAATCTAGTCATCTAGTGAGAATGCAGTCAAACCAAATTGCACGAGATTTGTTTTGCGTTTAAACAGTATATCGTGGTAGGAAGGCAAGAGGTAGATAAGAAGGAAATGGATAAATAGAGTAGCTGAAACCTGCAAAAGATGAGCACATTCATCATCAGAGGAGCATAAGACAAATACAGTAAACCACAACACTGGGCTACAACCTGGTATCAGTGACAACAGAAGAAGAAGTAGGCACTTAATGGATAATATAGTCAGCATCACACTATCAACCTTTACTTCCTATAGTACATCATTTTATGATGGGTTAAACTCTGAGCCAATTTGTTTTTCAGATCCGGCCGATGCAAATTTAAACCCAAGAATTTTGGGCTGGCTAGGACAAACACTATATGTTATGGTATTTAGTATAGTAATACAATGCTTTGTATGTATGTATGTATGAATATAGGCTGGGTTGACCTTGGAACCATGGTCATGCATGCATGCATACAAACATACATACATCCAAGCATATATATATATATATATATATATATATATATATATATATATATATATATATATATATATATATATATATATATATATATATATATATATATATATATGTTTGACAAAACTATGTTTACATATATTTCTTTAGGCGGCCGGACGTCACTGTTCTGGGTGAAGAAATCACAATTGTAAGTTCGTGTTAACGGAATCAATCTTTGCTTCTGTTTTGTGTGTGTGACTAAGAATTGGTTTAATTTTTATGGACTATGAATTTAACAAATGTGAGTGTTAGTTTAATTTTTAATAAACTTATTTCAGAAAACATAGTTGTCAGTTTAGTTGTAGGTTTTGTACATAGTCTGTTTAGTTTTCAGTATTGTACATAGTCATCCCCTCTGTGAGTTCCAGGTCCTAATTGTGGGGAAAACCAGAATAGACCCACTACCTCACCAACAAGCATGTTGTAGAAGTCGACTAATTGGAAGCATCCTTCAAAGTCGGGGTACATCTGCCTAAGAGGCAAGGAACCTAGTCTGCATACAAATAAGCTAGATGTGCACGCAGCATTCAAGTTCTGGGACAGGACTAATGTCTGGAGGGTGGTGAACACCCAGAACTTTCCGCCGGTGAACACAAAAAGAAGTACATAGTCAATGATTCAGAGCTGCTGAACCACATATTGAGTTGCACCATGACCAGGGCTAAGACTTGTCATGAATATCTACACTTCTCTGCGGTCATCCTAAAAAACAGGTTCCCATCCTGCAGCCAGGCCAACATTAGATAGGATCAGTATTCTTCCAAGTAAGAGTGCATCTGCCTGAAAGGCAAGGAACCAACAGTCTGCACAGAAATAAGCCAGATCTGTACAACTGATGTGTGCACAGCACTGAAGACCTGGAACAAAACCAAAGTCCAGAGGTGGACGAACAACCTGGACAGAGTTTACAGTCAGTGAATGCAAAGAAATGTCCTGTTGTAATGAATGATTGTATTATAGAATAGCATGTGGAAATCCAAAGTATCAGGTGAAAATCCTATCTCCTCTGAAGTTTTCTAAGGGGTAAGATAGTCAGTCTCATACCAGCGCTGTAGGGTTTCTCTGGGGAAGTAGGTCAGTTAGATTTTGCTGATACAGATTCTCAATGTCTGGACTGGGACTCCAGAGGTTTCATCCAGTGCTCAGTTGCTGAGCACTTGGTGCGACACTGAGTTATGGATTTCATGTGGAATGTTTATTTTTTCTATTGTGCCTGCAACTTATAGGCTTCAGTAAAATGGCTGATAAGGTTCAGAATAGCATGTACTTTTGTGGGTACAGTGCCAGCTTTTGCAGTTGACCTGCTTACAGCATCAGGAGCTGCAGTTCTTGTGTGGGACCATAAGTGTTAGCAAATTTGACAAGCGTGCTGTATGCATTTTTTTTACTTTGCCTGTGCAAGCTTCTAGGTTTTTCTGATACTGACCACTTTTTCCACTAGTTTTGAGATGGGGCAGTGAAGGATATTTTCTGTGAATACCAAGTTCATGGGCTGACATTGTTTTAAATGTGTGCTGGTAAAATGCGCAGGCAGGAGGCTACTGTTGTTTTAAAAATATGTGCTGGTCTACAGTTGGTGAAGAAGAAGGGGCTATCCTCAGAATAACGGTCCTAAATTATCGAGGCGGAAAATATACCCTAACAGGGCCTCAGTCACATGTCAATTGCGCACTTCCGGGGACTATAACGCCACCGCCGAATTGCGAATTTCCGGGACTATGCGTGAGCTGCGTAGGGATACTCTCGTCAGTGGCAGAAGTTGTCGGAAGTGCGTAATTTAAGATGACGAAAGTGCGCATGTGACTGAGACCCTGTTAGGGTATATTTTCCGCCTCGATAATTTAGGACCGTTATTCAGAGGATAGCCGAAGAAGGATATGCAGCTAACTTTTTTTTTTCACCAAGGAACTTTTGTTTTTCTTAGCACTCCATGGAGGATAGAAATCCTGTACCACTGAGTATTCACCATATGCCACTGTTGGTTTCCTTTGCCTTCTTCTCTCAAGGGTAAGTGTTTGGATAATATGTCAGTGCAAACAGATATTAGTAATGATTGTGAATGGTTTGACTACTCCAATGATTTTTCTGAGCACAGATGGTTTAGAGGTCTGGTGACGGTTGTTGTTAACTTAAAGAAGTTAGTTTAGTTGCGTATCCTTTATAGGGCGTTGCAGAACCAACCCTGACAGCCCCTGGCTGTTGTGTGGTTTTTCTAGGCAAATTTATGTCCAGTAGTTTGTCATTGCTTTCTGGACGGTCGGCTTTCTTGATACCACTGTTGAAACCAACACAAGGCGCATGACCTGCAGCTGGCATCGAACCCAGTATCCTAGCATTACGAAGCGTTCACATTGACTTGGTCACAGGGCCGACACTCAAAGAAGTATCCAATTAATTCAGAATTAGAAACCTGCTTATTTTTATGAAAAGATTGATGATTATCTGCTTTTTCTGTGATGGCTTCTTTGATTTACACAAGTAGATACATTTTCTGACAAAACTTACTATTTTTAGGAGTTCCTCTTTAGTTTATATATGTATGATGTTAACTTATTGGGCCAGTATTCCATTATTAATTTACTATACAAGAGTCAGTCTTGCAGGACATGGACATGATGCATATCATCATAGTTGTTATTTCAGCTTCTTTTGAGTAGGGTTATAATTGGAATAATTTTTAGATGCAAAGTTCACTAATTTGAAGCAGCAACTGCTTTAGATAGAGCACATTAAAGTAGTGGTTGTCTTAGTTGAGGTTTTAGCATCACTGCAGTCAGGTTTATCCATACTTGCTCAGTTCCTGTCCCAGTGCAGATCAGATGAAATGACCTGCACTGTATCGTTTGAAAAACTGGTGGACAAACAGTTAGCCCCGGAACAATCCGGAAATATTCACAAGCAGAAAATGCACATTTTTGTTGTCAGAGGCGCCAAAAGTTATAGTCGCCACCAGAAATGCAGTCCGTCGTTGATGGAAGTAGTCGGGCAAGACAAGATGGCCATACAGACATAGAATTACTACATAAGGTATTTCACCAGCTCACACGTAAACCGGCTACCAGCCATATTGAACACCAAGACATAACCGCTGCACCAATGAAAGGCATTCCACAGGAAAAACACAGCTCGCAGGGCTGCACCAAGCACTAAACTCAGTAGCTCAGGCATCAAAACCGTAGACTTTCATCCACATGTGGAAACTGCACCAGCAAAGCGCTGTCGGAGGCAAAAACAGCCCCGAAGTGTAACATTCTGTCATGCCTGTGCCATTTTAGGCCGGAAGTCCAGTAACAATTGTTTTGGACTGAAATAGTCATAAGGCTACAGGGCTGATGTTGGGGTTGGCTTCCCCATCTCAGTAAAAACACACATTAACAGAATTCACTCAACTCGATGGTACATTTTCTTCTTTCCAGACAGTAGTGTGTCATAGGGAGGCATGGACATCACAGCGTGTGTTGATGGTGAGTGTGTCTAGCAAGACCCGCTCACTTCAGTAGAAATCTGTTACAGTTGGAGCATAGGGTGTCTGGACTGTTGTTGCCAACTTGTTGGTACATTTTCTTCTTTCCAGACAGTAGTGTGCCTTAGGGAGGCATGGACATCACAGTGTGTGTTGATGGTGAGTGTATCTAGCAAGACCTGCTCATGTTAATACAAATCTCTCACAGTTGGAGCTTGGGATGTCAGGACTGTTGTTGCCATAGCATGTGTTTAATGTGCTTCTTCTCTCAATCTGTATGCTGTCGACTGTGAACAAGTTTGTGGATTGGTATGGATTGCTTTAGGGCCTGTTCCTTAGTGGGGAAATAAAGGAAAGAAAATAATATATTTAGTCTAGTGGTAATATCATTGAGTTCTTCGCTCAAATATTCATTGATGTTTTCAGGAAGTTCATGTTGGTGGATCCCTCGGAGAAAGAGGAAAAAGTTACAGAAGGAAAACTGGTGATAGGAATGAACAAATACAGAGAGATCTGCACCCTGCAGCTCACAGGACAAATGCTGCTGCTGAAAGATCAGGTTTGTTTGTTGTTGCTTGGTTTAGTATCCAGAAGCCATGAGTTGTTAACCCTTAGGCCCGGTATTATTGATATTGCAACCTTTTGGCCTTGAATCCATTGTAAATACCATAAATCTGGGAGAAAATGTGGCTTTTTTGTTTACCCCCGGGAGTGAACCCGGACCACAAAGAGTTCATCACCCGGTCACCGCGCAATCCGGTTTAGCCAAATACGCTAGAGAGCCGGGCGAAAGATCGGGTAAATATGTTAACCCTTTCAGCTTGTAAAAATCGTTTTTAAAAAGGCCTTTTTCAAAATTTTGTTTATAACAAAGCCCATCATTATAGTTCTCTTAAGTTTTACTCCGTGAAACTAGAGGAAGAGGAAAAGAAGCAGAAGAGATTTGGACTCACAGTCAATTTCTGTAAAAAATCTAGGGGGTTGAAAAATATGACATACGATGAAATGATGTGGGGGGGGGGGGTCGAAGAGATGGCACATTTTCATTAGTTGACAGGAAAGCATGCACACTTAAAAAGTATTAATGACCTAGGTGCGAAAAAGAAAAAAAAAACTGTCATTTGACTGATTGAACCTTAAGGTATTCTAGTGTTCAGTTTGAACAGTTTCGCTCATTAAATTGCAACGGTTTTGAATGTCAAAATTATGTTTCTCTCGGCAGCTATGTTTGTTATTCTTTTCTCAAATTTATTTCTTCTTCTGCGTTCGACATCAGCCATGCTAAACATTGAGTCCCGTCTGGATCACGCATAGGATTGTGCGTTTAGGGTCGACACTGGTCCCCCTATAGCTTCTCTTGCAATGTGGCTCCCTTGGGCCAGATCCACAGTCTTTGCTGGGAGAAGTTAGGGCAGTAGTGCAGTATGCTTAAATATATTGTTATTATTTAGTTTGTTTGTTTGTTGACTACTGTACATTTAAAGGATATGAGAAGTTTATGCTAGTGAGAAGAGATGTGGGGGAGTAGCTAAGTGGTCTTGCTGAATATTAAACAGGTTCTTCGATGCTCAAACATTGCTGTAACAAAAGTGGCTAGACTGACAGAGCTGATACACGAAGCCCTGGACAATGACAAACAGGCAAGGTAGGTAGTCGACGTCTGCTTCCGTGTGGTAGTATGTGTTGCATGATTCTTGCAGGAGTCGTGGGGTCAGAGGGTGCCAGAATCTAGGGGCTCATGCAACTTGACCCCCCACCCCCCCCCCCTTTTTTTTTGTTTCTCCAAATTGCAGGGTGGGCAACACCACCACCCCAAATAAATAGTTAATTGACTGATTATCCTCAGGAGGTGATTTCTCATCTTTAGTGTATCCCTCAGCATGTGGTGACAGATGATAGTGTATCCCTCTGCATGTGGTGACAGATGATAGTGTATCCCTCAGCGTGTGGTGACAGATGATAGTGTATCCCTCATTGTGTGGTGACAGATGATAGTGTATCCCCCAAAGTGTGGTGACAGATTTAAGTGTATCCCTCAGCGTTTGGTGATGGATAATTGTGTATCCCTAAGCGTGTGGTGACAGATTATAGTGTATCCTTCAGCATGTGTGACGTATAATAATGTATCCCTCAGCGTATGGTGATGGATAATAGTGTATTCCTTAGCGTGTGGTGACAGAAAATAGTGTATTCCTTAGCGTGTGGTGACAGATGATAGTGTATCCCTCATCATGTGGTGACAGATGATTGTGTATCCCTCAGCGTGTGGTGACAGATGATAGTGTATCCCTCAGTGTGTGGTGACAGATAATAGTGTATTCCTTAGCGTGTGGTGACAGATAATAGTGTATTCCTTAGTGTGTGGTGACAGATAATAGTGTATTCCTTAGCGTGTGGTGACAGATAATGGTGTATTCCTTAGCGTGTGGTGACAGATGATAGTGTATCCCTCATCATGTGGTGACAGATGATAGTGTATATAATAGTGTATTCCCTGTGGTGACAGATAATGTGGTGACAGATGATAGTGTATCCCTCATCATGTGGTGACAGATGACAGCGATGTGGTGACATATAATGTGTATTCCTTTGCGTGTGGTGACAGATAATAGTGTATTCCTTAGCGTGTGGTGACAGATGATAGTGTATCCCTCATCATGTGGTGACAGATGATAGTGTATCCCTCAGTGTGTGGTGACAGATAATAGTGTATCCCTCTGCATGTGGTGACAGATGATAGTGTATCCCTCAGCGTGTGGTGACAGATGATAGTGTATCCCTCATTGTGTGGTGACAGATGATAGTGTATCCCCCAAAGTGTGGTGACAGATTTAAGTGTATCCCTCAGCGTTTGGTGATGGATAATTGTGTATCCCTAAGCGTGTGGTGACAGATTATAGTGTATCCTTCAGCATGTGTGACGTATAATAATGTATCCCTCAGCGTATGGTGATGGATAATAGTGTATTCCTTAGCGTGTGGTGACAGATAATAGTGTATTCCTTAGCGTGTGGTGACAGATGATAGTGTATCCCTCATCATGTGGTGACAGATGATAGTGTATCCCTCAGCGTGTGGTGACATATAATAGTGTATTCCTTTGCGTGTGGTGACAGATAATAGTGTATTCCTTAGCGTGTGGTGACAGATGATAGTGTATCCCTCATCATGTGGTGACAGATGATTGTGTATCCCTCAGCGTGTGGTGACAGATGATAGTGTATCCCTCAGTGTGTGGTGACAGATAATAGTGTATTCCTTAGCGTGTGGTGACAGATAATAGTGTATTCCTTAGTGGGTGGTGACAGATAATAGTGTATTCCTTAGCGTGTGGTGACAGATAATAGTGTATTCCTTAGCGTGTGGTGACAGATGATAGTGTATCCCTCATCATGTGGTGACAGATGATTGTGTATCCCTCAGCGTGTGGTGACAGATGATAGTGTATCCCTCAGTGTGTGGTGACAGATAATAGTGTATTCCTTAGCGTGTGGTGACAGATAATAGTGTATTCCTTAGTGGGTGGTGACAGATAATAGTGTATTCCTTAGCGTGTGGTGACAGATAATAGTGTATTCCTTAGCGTGTGGTGACAGATGATAGTGTATCCCTCATCATGTGGTGACAGATGATATTGTTTCCCTCAGCGTGTGGTGACAGATAATAGTGTATTCCTTTGCGTGTGGTGACAGATAATAGTGTATTCCTTCTTAGCGTGTGGTGACAGATGATAGTGTATCCCTCATCATGTGGTGACAGATGATAGTGTATCCCTCAGCGTGTGGTGACATATAATAGTGTATTCCTTTGCGTGTGGTGACAGATAATAGTGTATTCCTTAGCGTGTGGTGACAGATGATAGTGTATTCCTCATCATGTGGTGACAGATGATAGTGTATCCCTCATCATGTGGTGACAGATAATAGTGTATTCCTCAGCGTGTGGTGACAGATAATAGTGTATTCCTTAGCGTGTGGTGACAGATAATAGTGTATTCCTTAGTGTGTGGTGGCAGATGATAGTGTATCCCTCATAGTGTGGTGACAGATATTGTGTATCCCTCAGCGTTTGGTGATGGATGATAGTGTATCCCTCAGCGTGTGGTGACAGATTATAGTGACCTTCATAATAGTGTATTCCTTAGCGTGTGGTGACAGATAATAGTGTATTCCTTAGTGTGTGGTGACAGATAATAGTGTATTCCTTAGCGTGTGGTGACAGATGATAGTGTATTCCTTAGCGTGTGGTGACAGATGATAGTGTATCCCTCATCATGTGGTGACAGATGATTGTGTATCCCTCAGCGTGTGGTGACAGATGATAGTGTATCCCTCAGTGTGTGGTGACAGATAATAGTGTATTCCTTAGCGTGTGGTGACAGATAATAGTGTATTCCTTAGTGGGTGGTGACAGATAATAGTGTATTCCTTAGCGTGTGGTGACAGATAATAGTGTATTCCTTAGCGTGTGGTGACAGATGATAGTGTATCCCTCATCATGTGGTGACAGATGATATTGTTTCCCTCAGCGTGTGGTGACATATAATAGTGTATTCCTTTGCGTGTGGTGACAGATAATAGTGTATTCCTTAGCGTGTGGTGACAGATGATAGTGTATCCCTCATCATGTGGTGACAGATGATAGTGTATCCCTCAGCGTGTGGTGACATATAATAGTGTATTCCTTTGCGTGTGGTGACAGATAATAGTGTATTCCTTAGCGTGTGGTGACAGATGATAGTGTATCCCTCATCATGTGGTGACAGATGATAGTGTATCCCTCAGTGTGTGGTGACAGATAATAGTGTATTCCTTAGCGTGTGCTGACAGATAATAGTGTATTCCTTAGTGTGTGGTGACAGATAATAGTGTATTCCTTAGCGTGTGGTGACAGATAATAGTGTATTCCTCAGTGTGTGGTGGCAGATGATAGTGTATCCCCCATAGTGTGGTGACAGATATTAGTGTATCCCTCAGCGTTTGGTGATGGATAATTGTGTATCCCTAAGCGTGTGGTGACAGATTATAGTGTATCCTTCAGCATGTGTGACGTATAATAATGTATCCCTCAGCGTGTGGTGACAGATAATAGTGTATTCCTTAGCGTGTGGTGACAGATGATAGTGTATTCCTTAGCGTGTGGTGACAGATGATAGTGTATCCCTCATGTGGTGACAGATGATAGTGTATCCCTCAGCGTGTGGTGACAGATAATAGTGTATTCCTTAGCGTGTGGTGACAGATAATAGTGTATTCCTTAGCGTGTGGTGACCTTTGTAAAGACCTGATATATTTGTGTGGGTTCCGGGGCCCAGTTGTGAGGAAAACAAGAATAGTCTCACTATCTCCCTAACAAGCATGTCGTAAGCATCGACTAACTCTGGGCTTCATTTGTAGTCGGAGTACATCTACCTGAGAGGTAGTAACAAGCTGCATACAGATAAGTCAGATCTGTAAAACGAATGTGCATGCAGCACTCAGGTTCTGGAAGCAGAGTAAAATCCAGCAGTGGTTGAACAACCAGAACTTTCCACTGGAGTTTACAGCTGGTAAATTTAAACAGGAAGAAGATATATTTGTGTGCAGGCTGTTGGTTTCTTGCCTCTCAGGCAGATGCACTCCCGTTTAGAAGGAAATGGTGATCCTATCTATACTAGCCTGGCTCTCAGTTGGAAACCTGTTTCTAGGATCACAGCAGAGCGGTTAGATTGGCCTTGACCGGTATGAATCCTGGTCCTGAGGCACCACCCTGTGTGTGCTTTAGCACCTCTGCATCCTGTGGTGGTAGCAAAAGGTTATATATGCTCAGCATTAGTGCAGAATTCTTTACAATGGACAAGTTTTGGGGAGGACATAAGAAGCAGAAGAAATAGTATCAGATTTTCCATGTGGGTTCCAGCTCCCCCCATTCACAAGCATGTCATAAGAGTCAACTAACTAAGTGCTTCCTTTGAAGACCGAGTAACCCACAAGAAGCATACAGATAAATCTAGTCTGTGAAACAGATGTGCACCCAACATTCAGATTCTGGAACAAAACTAAAGTTCAGGGATGGATGAGCACCCAAAACTTTCTGCTAGAGTTTACAGCTGGTGAACGTGAAGAAGAAGAAGAAGAATCAAACAGATTTGATTGTCCGGTATCAGATTTTTTGGGCAACTAATCAGACTAAACTTTTTTCCCTCTGCATTAACCCGTTAAAAACGACAGCTGAAACACTGTTGCGGCTTGCAGACAAGCTGCGTCATCAGTGCCTTTCAGCCTAATACATCTGATTTCAGCAGTCTTTTTGTTAGTCACCTTCTATGACAAGCCCATTAAGCAGCTGTCAGTGTTCTTTCTCTTTATTCCCTCTCTCTCAACAAGAAATAATGGGAGCTAGAATGCACTTGGGAAGGTGGCAGTGTTAATGAAAAGGTGTCCTAGTTTGCTGCCATACTGGCAGATGCTCAACACTCAGGGGGAAGGGTGATATACAATCAGACAGTTACTGGTGCTATTGAAATTGCAACTCTTGGTTTGCTGCTGAAGATGGGGTCGGAGCACTTTTGGAGGTGTCCCAAATGCTGTGATGTTGATTCTTTATTTCAGTATTCAGCTGGCAACATCATGAAGATCAGTATTATTATTATTATCTTTATCAGATCAAAAGGAGAAAAACATGGTTTTGCGGAAATGATTACTGGAGATAAAATCACAGCCAACAGACAGCCGGCAAAGGTGGTGCCTTCTGACGCTAATGAGGACAGTTCCATGGAGAGTGAAGAAAGTGAAATGAGCAGTCTTTCAGATGGAGGGGAAGCAGCAGACATGGAGATTGAAAGGTAAGGCACTGTCCTCTTGAAGGTAATTATGTTGCACTCTTCTTCTTCCCTGTTCATACTTTAAAGGGTAGTTGGCACATTATGTTGTGGTGCACCTCTTGGCTGCTATGTCGGAGATTTTCAGCCTAGAACATCCAATCTAAGCAGACCCGTAATTTACTTTTTATATCATGCTTTTGAAGGGGCACCTGCCCTGAAACCCACATGGGGAACTGTTTCATCAAATTTGTGGCTCAATGCCTGTAATTTCAACAACCATGTTTTCAAGCTTGCCATGGACCATGCAGATATTCTGAATGCTCTACGAGAAATAAGAAGTTTGCGAGAACTAAGTGATGACTATGATACTTCAACCATGAACAGAATGAAAGAACGTTGTTTATTAAAAGGGGTGTTGCCAGACAAGAGCACTATGCAGGAAGCTAAAGAACAATAGGAAACCAACACAGAACTTGTGTCGTGAGCCGCTACTCGCTGCGGGATTTACTAAGGAGGGGATCCGAGCACTTGTGGACTGGTGGTTCGATGTTTCAATGAGGATAATCTGTCGACTGACTAGCTAACTTTCCCTAGCCTTTGGCTGTCCCCAGTCAACCTAAAATGCAACAGATGTGTGTGTCTCTCTTTGTCTAGTTCCCTTGTTCTGTAGAACATGGAAGACCTTACTAGTAGCTAAGCTACCACTGGTATATCACTCATAGACACTGGAACACACACGCTGCTCTACTAGTAGAGTGAAGTTACATCAGATAGGGAAATGTAAGCTGGTAATCTTAGTTTCAGCTTCATAGCAAATGGGTCACCCCAAAGTTGCTCCGCTCCTGTGCCAACGAAAAACACAAAAAATGTTTATCAGTCCCTTGTGGAAAGATTGACAGACTGCTGTCTCAGCATATGCGCTAGCATACACACGCATTACAAGCATACTGTAGCAATCCAAAGTGCTAACACAAACAGTCCGACATTAGAAATGCAGTTCATCATGGATGGTAGCACTAGTGACTAGCAGAAGTCACCAACAGATCAGCAGTTGCACACGAAGGTAAGCTATTATTGGGGTGTGTAAGTAGAGATGCGGCTTAGAGGTTCACAAATGTGGTTACAAATTTAATTATCCTTGAGCACTAGCGTTTGTTTGCCATGGTGGACTGTTAAAAAAACAAAATGGTTTTCATGTAGTCACCACGTGGAAGAGATCCCCAGCTGCTTCACATTTCTCAAGACAACAAACAGTGGGTATACTCTAGCCAACCTTCGGTATGGAGATGGCACAGATTTTATTTTGAACACAGAAGACACTGATAACAGATTGTACAATTTGTTGCCCAGCAAAGTTTGCAATATCGTATGAGGCATATACTGCAGAAGTAAACAGTTGCGTCAAATAAATGAAACCTTCCACTGAAATGGACCATTTAACAACCACTGAAGAACACAAATCTGGTGCCTGTGCAGAATGGAGGAAATTAAATGGTATGATAGAATCACTGGAGCTTTGAGAAAGAACTAATATTCCACTGAGTCAAAAGGGGAAGAAGGTGTTTGAACTTTTTGAACAACAGATCAACATGATGGCACACAGGTAGTAACCCATAAGTGCTTGTTTCTTCTTCTAACTAAAGTCTGAGCCCGAAAAAGCTTAGCACAGTGCACAGGCTCTATAGCACCGGCGAGGATCCTGAAATACTTTGGGTAGATTTTCAACTCTAAACTTTTCCTGGGCAGCGCCGTTAGGCTACTCTTTTAAATTTCCAACTGTCAAGGGATATTTGTTTACGTGTGTAACAATGCACACGGGCGTCCGATCTCACTACCCAGAGACCAGGGGGAATTACTAGAAGTCCAAGTCCACATGAAAAAATCCCAGCAATACCAGGGATTGAACTCGGAACCTCTAGTACTCGAGGCGGACACTATGCCTCAAGACCACGCAGCCCCCTAAAAGGGGAGGAAAAGATGCTGAAAAGATGCTGGAGCTCGATGGCACACACTGTGAGAAAACCTCATAACAGTAACTAACTAGAATGTCTTTACTGGAACCACAGGAGCATAGAAATAAAGACAAATAACAAATTCAGGGAGAAGGGAGCTAAGGAGTGAAGTTTAAAAAGATGGGGTAAACATTGGGCAAGCTGCAGGCGATTTGTTGAGAGCCTATACGTCATTGGGGGATGCAGTGAAGCAAAAGAATTGGCAATTTTGAATTGAACTCTCTTGCCCCAAAAAGCCACAGAACTGATATTTCCAGTTGGGTCTAGTTCTCCACTAAACTTGTACTTTCAGTTGGGTCTAGTCCTCCACTAAACTTGTACTTTCAGTTGGGTCTAGTCCTCCACTAAACTTGTACTTTCAGTTGGGTCTAGTTCCTCCACTAAACTTGTACTTTCAGTTGGGTCTAGTCCTCCACTAAACTTGTACTTTCAGTTGGGTCTAGTCCTCCACTAAACTTGTACTTTCAGTTGGGTCTAGTCCTCCACTAAACTTGTACTTTCAGTTGGGTCTAGTTCCTCCACTAAACTTGTACTTTCAGTTGGGTCTAGTCCTCCACTAAACTTGTACTTTCAGTTGGGTCTAGTCCTCCACTAAACTTGTACTTTCAGTTGGGTCTAGTCCTCCACTAAACTTGTACTTTCAGTTGGGTCTAGTTCCTCCACTAAACTTGTACTTTCAGTTGGGTCTAGTCCTCCACTAAACTGATACTGTCAGTTGGGTCTAGTATTCCACAAAACTGATACTTTCAGTTGGGTCTAGTTCCTCATAAATGTCGCCTGACTTTTCTACACTTTTGAGACACTTAGTTAATGCCATTGGCTGTGTTTTGCCTGGTCAGCAGTTTAGGTGTCAGGATATAAATATTTTTACTAAAATTGCATGTGGGGGGGGGGGGGAATTTCCCTCGGATTCATGATCCATTGTTTTTAATGTTCACAGGACAAAAGGGTTAAATGTTAAGAACAATTCTTTTAGATCACTGTTCATCAGAATTAAATTTTGTACAAGATCTGAGCATCATATGCAGTATTGGGAATACATCAGCCACCCAGGGCTTTGGAAAGAACAGTAACAGAGGTCATGGATCCGGGAAAAAGAATCAGAGTTGAGAGTATGAAAGTGGGCAGAACACTGGTCAGACGAGTTGTTTGTCCATATATTGCTGCGTCCCTCATGTAAACAAAGAATAGCAAGACTATCTCTCTCCTGCCAAAAGGTGTGTTGTAAGAGGCAATATAGGTGTGGCTGGGGTTGACTACCTCATCCCATTTAAAAAAAACAATAATGGAAGAGTCTTAAAGGGTCACTACACGGCATTTTTCCCAATTTATGACAAAAATATCACTTTTTCAATGTGTTCGTTTTTGTAAAGTTCGGCATTCGTACAATAGATGACACAAAAAATTTATGTCATTTGTAAACAATTTAGCATTGAAAAGTTAATACTAATGACACCACCTCGTGCACTTTTGTAAGATAAAAAAAAGTTTAAAAGTCAGTTTTCTCAAATCTTTATATTTCAGAATGCTGTGTGTGTGAAATCCTAAAATTTAAGCTAATATGAAGAGTACAATCATGAAATTTTTTTTGCGTACTCCATAAACAATATTATAGGGACTGGTCTATCTAAAAGTAGATTTTAGAAAGATTTCGTTTCTAAAATTTTATTATTGTCTTATGATGCTAGATTTTTTTGACTTTTTCAATGAACCTACATTTTAAAATTCTACGAAAAATATTTAAAAACATGTTTAAAGTAAATAAACTAGACCTGTACCTCTAAATAGGTAAAAAAAATTCATGGTTCCGTCATCTATTGTTGAATACCTATGTTTGTTTTTAAAATTTTAGGATTCTAAGTACATATTGTTTTTTTCACAAGATGGCAGCTATTGCCATGACAACTATAATTTTTTAACACTTAAAGTAAACAAATGTACTACAAATGACCATTATAAAATAACTGCTCTAAGTCTGTAAATTAAAAAAAAAAAATTTTTGGTGTAGTGAACCCTTAAACAAACTTGACGTGAGTTGGTTGAAGGCCTATGCTGCACTGAAGGATAAAGGAAAGATAAATCTATGGTTTACTAAAGGTGTATAATTGAAGAACAACTAGAATTTTATAATTCAGCAAAAACCCATAGATATCATCATTAAGAGAACTGGACCACACCAGACCCAAAACCACAAGCACCACACCGCAGCAAGGAAGCAAACAACCGGAATATCAGGTGTGACTACACACAACAAATAAAAGGAAATCAAATAAGACAGCCAAGGAACCTTCCTTCATATAGCAGGCCTTCGGGCGGCTAAAAAAGGATCAAATTTGGAATTTTTGTTGGACGAATGGGGATTGGAATTTTATATTGAATAGTTTTGTTACATCACAAATTTTATTAGTCACCTTTTCTTATTTTTAACTTGCAGAACTGGTGAACTGCCAATTAAGATACTGGTAAGTATTTCATTTATTGTATGGTTTGCAATATATATGAATACACCACAGTGAACAAATATGTATAGACCAAGTACAAATCGAAACAGGCCAACTAAGTTACTAAAAAAAAAGAGGGGGGGGGGGTATGTCTTGGAAATCTGCAGTAATGAGCCTCAAGGTCTCGGAATGCAGAAGAAAAAGATTGTTGCTTCTTGTTCTCCATTCTCTGCTGTTTGTGTCTTTGATGGGTCAAAAATTTAGTCATAAGTTAAGTTAGTGAATGTAAAACTTACCTAGAAAAACCACAACAGCCAAAAATGCTGGGTTCTGCAACTTCCTGTAAACGATACACAACTAACTTAATCATAAGACTGTTCTCAAAAGTTCATAATGAGGCTTCGTCTATTTTAGTTTTACTCAAGTTTCAGAATCATATAGCACAGTTGGTCAGATCAGTGTTTTACTGTATCTACTGTGATGTTGGTGTCATGAAATAGAGCATTTGGTTTTAGCAGGTGATGCAGGGGCATTGTATACTTTATTTCCAGAATGGGTTCTAGATTGT